GCCGAGGCTTTAGTAGCGTAGCGCGAGTTATATATAAAGCGAGCGAGTAAATTATAGTATAGTCTCGAGGATACTAAATCTTTTAAGATACGTAGCGTCTCTAGGTTATAGATACTATTATACCTATAAGACTTATACGCTTATAATTACTAAAGGCGATACTATCTACGTATTCTACTCTTTAGCTTAGTAATCTACTTCTATCGAGATCGACGTTACTTCGGCTCTACGACTTCTACTACTATCTAGTCGTACCGTTACTCGAATACGTCCTTCCTTTATATATAATAGACTATAGACTAGTAATATAGTTTATAATACTAGTCTCGAGCTAAGTCGTCGCCTAATCGTTATCGAGATAGTATATCCTATATATTAGTAAGATTCGACGTAGCTATAATAGTATCGGGATACTATAGACTATACCTAGTCTTATAGCCTTCTACTACTATAAGTTATAGCTTCTCTACCTCTATCTACTACTTTTGCTTACTATATATCTATATAAGGTTAGCTATACTACTTAGTATCGAGAGATAATCTACCTCGAGCTTTATTTTCCTTATTTCTATTATTTCTATCTCTAGCTCCTCCGTTTCTATCTATTACTCTTAATCGAGATATATTGCTATAAGGTTCGCTATACTAGTTAGCGTATTAGGATAATCTACTCCGAGCTTCGTTTTACTCGTCTCTATTACCTCTACCTCTAGCTTCTCTACCTCTGCCTACTATCCTTAATTATAATATATCGCTATAAGGTTCGCTATACTAATTAGTATATAGAGATAATCTACCTCGAGCTTCGTCTTCCTTATTTCTATTACCTTTATAAATAGCTTCTCTACTTCTATCTATTATCCTTAATTATAATATATCGATATAAGGTTACTTATACTAGTTAGCGTCTCGGGATAATCCGCTTCTAGCTTCGTTTTACTTATCTCTATTACTTCTATTTCTAGCTTCTCTGCTTCTATCTACTATCCTTAATCGTAATATATAGATACGAGGTTCTCTATACTAGTTAGCGTCTCGGGATAATCTGCTCTAAGCTTCGTCTTTATTATATTTATTACCTCTATACCTAGCTCCTCCGCCTCTACCTACTATTCTTAATTATAGTATATTAAGGCGAGGTTATATATACTAGTTAGTATCTCGGGATAATCTACTTCTAGCTTCGTCTTACTCGTCTCTATTACTTCTACTTCTAGCTCCTCTACCTCTATCTACTATCCTTAATTATAATATATAGATACGAGGTTCTCTATACTAGTTAGTATCTCGGGATAATCTGCTCCGAGCTTCGTCTTTATTATCTCTATTACCTCTATATCTAGCTTCTCTACCTCTATCTACTATCCTTAATTATAATATATAGATATAAGATTCTCTATACTAGTTAGCGTATTAGGATAATCTACTCCGAGCTTCGCCTTTCTCGTCTCTATTATCTCTATCTCTAGCTTCTATATCTCTATCTACTATCCTTAATTATAGTATATCGATACGAGGTTCTCTATACTAGTTAGCGTATCGGAATAATCTACTCTAAGCTTCGCCTTTCTCGTTTCTATTACCTCTATCTCTAGCTTCTATACCTCTATCTACTATTCTTTAGCGTATAGTATATTAGTAAATAGAGCTTAGCTATCTACTATATAGTCGTCGTACTTCTCTAGCTATTCTACTCTCTTCTCTAGCGACCTTTAAGCTATCTCCTCTACTCGATCCTAGTCGCCTACTAACNGCCTCCGACTATAGCTTCTACTACGCTATATACTATATATATAGGAGGAGAATCTAATACGTATACTAGTTCTTATAGTTACTAGAAGGGAATATAGTAGATAGATTACTAATAAATTGCTCCTAAACTAACTCTAACCTATCGTAGTCCTCGATCTATACCTACGTCGTATCCTATACTAGCCGATATATCGTCTAGTCGGTAGAGCTAGTCGTCGTAGTAATAAACGAAAAACTATATAATATTATAATATTATCCTCGAAGTTTTATTTAATCTCGCTCTACTTACTACTCTCCTCTATACTATATATAAGTATTTCTAGGATCGCTTAGCGATCGTATAGGCTTATTAGTAATAGCAGATCTACTACTAACTTCTATATTTAGTATACGTACTTAAATAAGATCTACTACGTCGTAATAACCGAGCTACTCGCCTTCTACTCCCGATCCGGTAGTAGGATACTTCGCTAGAGTAGGCTAGTCCTCGACTAATAGCTCTCTTCGACCTTATATAAGTACTACGCGATCGAGGTTCGTAGTTACTTCTTATAGATATACGCTACTATCTAAGCTATAGTAAGAGAGAGAAGGTCTAGCGCTATAGCTAGTTATACGTACTACTACTAGTCGTCTAGCTCTAGCTTCTTCTCTAAAAGTATTCTTAAGTAGTCGATATCTATTAGTAGGACGTCGATAATTTGCCTATTATATACTAGCTATAGTACGATATTCCTTATTTATATTATAATAATTAGTAAGCTATATTCGTATACCGGAAAGTACTCGATTAGCTGCTTACCCTTACTCTTACTTTTAGTACTAGACGATATAAGAATATTTCTATTATCTAAGTTATCTAGTACTACTAGCTATCTTCCTTTATATCTATTGCTAAGCTATCTCTATAGAAGTTCTAGTATATTCGCTTATAAGTCCTTACGACCTCGAATTTTTAGCTACTCTACGACCTCTTTCGCGCTCTACTATACGCGCGCTATAGTATTAGCGGAGATCTATATTACCTACGTATCTAATAATCGCGACTATATCTCTACTATATATTCGACTACTAACTATATCTTTCTACTATATATTAGTACGTCTCTTTTATATATAGTAGGTCGCTACTATACCTACTCTATCTCTTCTAGTCCGACTACGGCTACCTATACTCCTTCTAAGCTAGCCTTCTTATTAATTTACTAGAGTAGTTCCTACTATAGAATAAAGTCTAAGTCGTAGAGGAGAGGTACTATTAATAGAGAGAGCGGCGGAGTTTCGATACGTTCTATAGCGTACGATAGTTAGCTTATAGTCGTCGAATAGGTACTATACCTATACTAACTAGGTAGTAGGTAGATCTCGGCCGAGATTAGCGCGAAGCTCTAGCCTACCTAAAGGCTATTCTATATATTTCCTAGAATAATCGACGTAGATATAATATCCGTTTATATATATAGATAATAAGTACTAGAAGGAGAAAAGTAGTATAGTATACTAGTACTTCCGCGTATATAGCCTAATTACTACTAATAGCGCTATAGCTTAGAGCTAAGGCCTATAGGTGCGTCTCGTACCTCTCGTAGGCGCTTCTAGCCTACGTTCCTCTATATCCGACTTAATATTACTTCTCTATACTATCTCTCCTATTATAGTTTCGAACTCGTATCGATATAGCAGACCCTCTAAGTACGTCCGCAGCAATCGTCGGCCTCGTAGTCCCTACTCTATATAGCGCCCGACTGCTCCTCAGCGACCTCGAGAAGATTACAAACGCGCCGGAGGCAGTAGCACGGCTAAAGGAAGAAGTCGACTCGATTACTACGAACCTGAACTTGTTGTACAGCGTTGGAAGAATTGCTATGTTTGTCCTCGATGCGAAGGTCGTTCACAGCATACTAAAGAGACATGGTTTAACTCGAGGCTATAGTGCCTTCTAGCGCAGCTCCAAAAGGTCTTTATACTCTCGTGTTGCGGCGAGTAGTTGTATGCTAGTTGGACTCACGCGACAGTTGCGCATGTTACCCTTCATCACTTCTGCAGATTCGCTCGCGTAACTCCAAATCTGACCACGCCTCTGTTTCGACGCACCCTGCAATCATGTCCACTTCGAACTCCAAACGCTTATCCAACCCGCGCTTAACTCCGACCAAGAACACAGCACTGAAGATTTCTGCCATGGTGGCATTGCCATCGCACTTCGAGTAACCAGAAAAGCAATTATGCTAGAAGGTATTAGTGACATAAGGGCAGCTTTGAGGGCCCGCACTCACTTGCGGATGTCTTATAACGATGCACGGTGCTCAGAATGGTGACCAAGAGTTGGGGGACAGCGACCGCGATGGCCAAGACGTCAGCCATGAAGCCAAGAGCAAACATGTTGGACATATCGTCTCTGTGCAGTCGGACTTGATATCGCCGCTTTGTATTGCTCGCGAGTGGCTTGGCGTGCAAACTTGTAGTGGTGTGGCGAGGAAAATGGTTGCCTCCGCAGAGTTGACGGCGGCAAAGCAGAGAAATTCTCTAGCATAAATATCAGATGAGGGTAGAGCTGCACAGTGCCTCTCCTTGCTCATCGTATCTCCTTGTGAGAGTCTGCGCCTTGCTTTGGAGTGCTACAGGCAACCATTCGTCAAGCACTACGTTGCACCGTTCTAGTTGCAGAATCTGTCGATTTACAAGCTTCCGGTGTCTGTGCTATGCGTGCCAATGGAGTCGAGTTCCTTAGAGGATCGTACGCATAATGAAGCGTGCCTGCTTGACCATCCTCGTGGCCATGCCGATGCCTCTGATATGGCGATATAACACGGAAAAGTTCGGACACACAGATTCATTCTGTAGCTCGATGTTAGCGGCGTGCGTAACACTTCAGACACATCGTGTAACGGAGTGATTGGCATCGTTCACACAGCACGCAAGGAGGAATGTCGAATCTGACGCCGTGCAACGTATTGCTCAGTTCCACTTGCTGGCCGTGCTATGCATCATCAATGAGCACTTTTCCACAGGAATGTCATGCTCTGGAATGGATGACTCGTCTCACACTCTCTGGCCAGTGGACTGAGAAAAATGTGGCACTGTCGTGTACGATGAGGCGCCAGTCACAGGCCGAATCTTGTCGCTGCCACTGCCCTCCAGCTGCATTCGCCGTTGTCGGGACGCGCCGTTGCTGAGGTCTGAAGACTTGGCTTCACGTGCGGCAACGGCAGAAAGCTGCCATCTCTGTGTCCACAGGTTCAACTCTCGAATACTGAATACTGGAACCTGAAAACCGAATCCAGACTTCAGGTTTGACCCCCCGAGCTTTCTAATCTTAGACACATGTGACTCATGACTGCTTTCACAATGTTGGGACGTCGGTCGCTCAGGTACGGTCACTTTTGTAACCACTCTCGAGAACCTCGAAATGCAAACTGAAGACCAGGAACGGCAGCATGGCGAAGCAGAGAGCACAGCGAATGTGGATCACCTGCCTGCATCGACCAGATGGTACCGGCGTCATGGCCGAATGTCACGAAAGGACAAGGCCACGAGGCAGCAGTATTTGTCACCACCAGAAGAGAAGGCGCTCGCAGAGTACATGCTGCGCATGGCGCACGCGGGCTCTCCCCTCCCGGTGAAGTCTCTCCGACATCTCGCGCGAACGATTCGCAGACAGCAATGTTCGTTGATGCAAGTGGCAGCGTCCAATGATGTGCCTCTTCCCGGGAAGAACTGGCCGCAAGCGTTCTACAAACGTCACCCCGAACTGCGAGCTCGACGCACGAAGGCGATTGATCGCAACCGGCACCATGACAGTATACATGAAAAGGTGTCGGAGTGGTTCGGAATAATGCAGAAAGTGCTCAAAGATCCTGTGATTCTTCCGGAGAATGTGTATAACATGGATGAGACCGGCGTGATGCTGAGCGTTTTGGGATCTCTGAAGGTGCTTGTAGATCGTGATGACCTGCGAACGACAAGGCCATCTTGTGTTCAACGAACACTGATTACAGCGATCGAATGCATCTCGGCAGATGGTAGGTACCTCGATCCGCTGATTATTTGGCCGGCTGTGACGCACCGCAGCACATGGACTGCGTATCCTACACCCGGCTGGCACTTTGCTTGCTCCAAGTCCGGATATACCGACACTGCGATCAGCCTGTATTGGGTGCAGCACGTGTTCGACCCTCTGACACGATCCCGAGCGAAGGGCAGACCGCGCCTGCTCATCAACGACGGCTTTGGCACGCACGAGTCACTCGAGGTGTTGACATACTGCTTCCAGAACAACATCGTCCTCTGTCGACTGCCCTCGCATACTTCCCACAAACTTCAGCCGTGCGACGTGGGCGTGTTCGGGCTCTTGAAAACAGCATATCGAGAGCAAGTGGAGTGCTTGTATCGCGGAGGCGCCACCACGATAGGCAAACAGCACTTCACATCATTGTACAGCAAAGCTCGACAGACTGCGTTTACGTCCCGAAACATCCGCTCGAGCTGGGCCAAAGCTGGCCTGTTTCCATTTCAACCCGGCCGAGTGCTCGATGAGATCCAGCCTGCGGAAGCGGTGCCATGTGAAACTGAGGCGCAACAATCGGTTCAAGTGTCTGAGGCTGCTGATCAGACCCTGCGCACGCCCACCACCGTCACCAGCTTCCACAACGTGCGCCGGCAGCTCGAGAGCAAGCTTGACCGCCAGGACGAGCAGTCTCGCGCGTACCTTCGCAAAATCACGAATGCTGCAGAAAAAGTCTACGCCGATCGTGCTCTTCTATTCGACGAGAACAGACTCTTGTTTGAACAGAACAATGAAAAGTCGATGCGAGGTTCGACGAGGGCAACGATCGTGGGACGAGCCAAAGTCATGTCATACGATGATATCGTCGAAGCGCAAAGGAGACGGAGCGAGAAGGAACTTGGCATGGCCGTACCGCACGAGGCAGTTCCACCCTTTACAGCACCCGTTGCGCGAATGCTGAGCGAGGCTGACCAAGAGGCTCTGGAAGCAGCAGATGAGATTGATGCAATGGGGTTCGCCCAGTACTGCCACGTCCTGCGCCTTGAGAGGTCTTAGTGTTTGGCACATCGGTCGTGAGGATGGCGCAGCTCGGCTATTTGTATGATACTCTTCACATCAGCAAGCGGGATGGCATGTGCGATTCGCAGTGGTGTCGTTGACTCGCTCATACGAAAGCAATTTGCAAATCACTGCGCCTGGAGAACGTGAACCAGCAATACGTGTTTCGACATCTCGACCATCCCGACTCATTTGCCACTGTTCCAATTCACTGCACCATGGCTGACGCCAATCTGCATGCCTTTTTCATTGTTTCCGAACGTGATGTTCGTCGTGTCGCCGGTCTTCGCACTCTTCTCGGCTTCAGTGGGCTCGGATCGTGACGATAGCTCACGAAGCAGTGTCTGTGATAGTTTCAGAGCTTCGAGAAGATCTTCGAGATTCATCACGGTTGTTTCCCGATCGTCCTCGGTCGCAGCTTCGCTGTCGGTGGCAAAGACAGTGTGTGGACAGGACTGTATCTCTGTCAAGCTACGCTGCACCGTTGCGACTTCAGTCGAGGTAGTGTTGCTCGCAGCCACAAGTTGACTCCGTTGCGATTTGATCAAGTCCCGAACATCATCGGTTATCCGAGAGTTGCGAAGAGAAGCATATCTGGAGATAAAAGGTCAGCACTGCCCTCTTTTCTTCGCTTTCCGTACATACAAAGTAGCCGTTCCCACGATCGATTGCGAACTGAGTCTGTGAGTGCGAAGTCGATCAAGATGTGCTTGGAGCTAATGATCTCGAAAGAAACCAATGTTGATGCGGTCGAGCCACGAAAGCTTGCCACCTAGGGAGCGTTTGGTCCAGCGTAAGATGTCCGCCCGGATAGTGTCACAAGCAGCTCCGCAGCTCTCAATAGACGCTCTGGACTGATCGGCTACGTTCACCCCCAATGATACCTACACTGGCTCTTCGATGTCTCTTAGTAAGTCCAGGTTTGCAGAAAGCGAGTCGGCCTCTCCCTTTAGCTATACTACCGCCTCCGGCGCGTTTATAATCTTCTCGAGGTCGCCGAGGAGCAGTCGGGCGCTATATAGAGTAGGGACTATAAGGCCGACGATTACTATAGATATACTTAGAGAGTCTGCTATATCGATATAGGTTCGAAACTATAATAGGAGAGATAGTATAGAGAAGTAATATTAAGTCGGATATAGAGGAACGTAAGCTAGAAGTATCTACGAGAGGTGCGAGACGTACCTATAGGCCTTAGCTCTAAGCTATAGCGCTATCGGTAGTAATTAGGCTACGTACGTAGAAGTACTAGTATACTATACTACTCTTCTCCTTCTAGTACCTATTATCTATATATATAAATAGATATTATATCT